CATCATCATCAGTATTTTCTCCATATATTTTATCATCAAAAAGAATTCAAACTCTATATCATGATCTAACTAAATACATAATGTACAATATATATTTTTACAAATATATATATATATATAAACATATATAATTTATATATTTATATGTCTTATATATATATATATATATATATATATATATATATATATAAGGAAATATTGACGTATATCATACATTTTGGGGTTATAATACCGGGAAAACGTACTAATGTATTCTATTTAAATGCATTATTAAGATTAATTAATATTAATATAAATTACGTTTAAAATGTAATAATATTTATAATAATAATTATAGTAATAATAATTATAATAACAATAATAATGATAAATATATGAAGGAGAATAGAATGATTAATTTTGTTATTTATAACTGTGTGAATATGAAGGATACAACAACAACAGCAACAACAACAACAACATCATTAGCAACAACATGAGTGACAACAACAACAACACCATCAGCAACAACATGAACAACAACAACATACATCGCTAGTCACAACATCAACAACATTATTAGCAACAACAACAACAATCAACAACACCAACATCTACAACAACAACAACAACGACAACAACAACGACAACAACATTGGCAACAACAACAACAAAAACAACAACATCAACAACAACAAAATACGCGCATACAGACGTACAAATGAATCTGAAGTAGCCATGGAAACTACCGGTGAAGGATAATATCAATGGATGAATAATAATAATAATAATAATAATAATAATAATAATAATAATAATAATAATCGTTATCACTGCTATCATAATCAGGATTATTACGATCATTCTCTACACTGGGCAAGCTGTTTCGAAGTGCTTTTATAAACCTACATTAAAATTCTGAAAAGTATTTGCTGTTAATAGCAATTACAACAACAACAACAGTAAAAACGTCAACAACAACTACATCAACAACAACAAAGGTAACTACAACAAAGACATCAACAACATCGACAACAACAGCAAAAAACATCAACAAAAACAACAGAAATAACAACAACAACAACAAAAACAACAACAACAATGTCACGTGATGAGATAGCGATCTTATTCATCCTCGCTTCTTTTATCCTAAGTAAAAACACTTTTTAATTAATTACCTATTAGATCATTACCTATTAATTAATTACTAATTAATTAATTATAAAATCAATAATACTAATTATTCTGTAAACGATAATTATTCTGTAAAGCAGAAGTAGTAATAGTATTATTATTATAATTATTATTTGTAGTAGTAATAGTAGAGGTAGTGTAACAGTGGTAGTAGTAGTAGCAGTAGTAATACTAGCAGTAGTAGTAGTAGTAGTAGTAGTAGTAGTAGTAGTAGTAGTAGTAGTAGTAGTAGTAGTAGTAGTAGTAGTAGCGGTAGTAATACTACTACTAGTAGTAGTAGTAGTAGCCGCAGCAGCAGCAGTGGTAGTAGTAGTAGCGGTAGAATTGTATGCAGGCAACCAATGATATTAATTTAGATTATTCAACCTTTCATTGTTAAATAGAGGAAATTCCTGATCCATCCATCTTTCTGTTTATCCTGTTGATCTTGATAACGATATCGCTAACGTTAACATCATCATCATCATCATGGCCATCATCATCATCATCATCATGGCCATCATCATCATCATCATCATCATGGCCATCATCATCATCATCATCATCATGGCCATCATCATCATCATCATCATCATGGCCATCATCATCATCATCATCATCATCATGGCCATCATCATCATCATCGTCGTCGTCATCATCGCCAGCATAGTCAAGCAATTTGTTTTAATTATCATACTTACAAACATATTACAATGGCTCTCGCCTTTAGAATTAAATTCCTTATTTTCGATTTATTTTTCTTAAAATTTCAATCATTCAATCAATCTATTATTCATTTATTCGTTCATTTGTTCATTAATTCATTCTTTCATTCGTTCATTCATTCATTTCATTCATTCATTTAAATTTTAATTTACTTTTAGTCTCAATTTTTATCTATCAATCATTAAACTAATTAACTCATCAATCAATCTGTTTAAGCCTTATTTTTGTTCATTCATTCATTCGTTCACTCTTTCGTTCGTTCATTCATTCATTTATTCAATCATTCGTTCATTCATTTTTTCATTCATACGGATCGTTGTAGACAAATCATTAATCTAAATATTAGCAGGCGTGCATACGAAATGAAAAAAGGACACAATTCATTAATGCATTTTAATATTGTATGTATGTATGCATGTATGTATGTATGTAAGCATGTATGTATGTATGTATGTATGTACGTATGTATGTATGTATGGATGTATGTATGTACGTATGTATGTATGTATGGATGTACGTATGTATGTATGTATGGATGTATGTATGTATGTATGTATGTATGTATGTATGTATGTATGTATGTATGTTTGTATGTATGAATGTATGTATGTATGTATGCTTGGATGTATGTTTGTATGTATGAATGTATGTATGTATGTATGCTTGTATGTATGAATGTATGTATGTGTGTTTCTTTGTATATTTGATTGTATGTTTGCGTGCATGTATGTATGTATGAAATTAAATTTTACGACAACTATTATCAGCAGAAAGCATTAGAAACGAGACCACGTTGCAGTTCTGCATGGAAGATTCCATTTGTGACGTCATCTACGTTTGCCCATCATTACCAGAACTTCCGTCATCATCATCATCAGCATCGAAACATCAAATAATTCAATGGAACGCCAATGAAACAATGATAATAATTAAAAACTATGGAAGGTTAATGTGACAGTTTTATCATTTTTGTTCTTTCGGTTGCAAAGTTTTTTTTTCTATCTACATTTCAAAAACATTATGTAAAAAGTAACTTTGCCTTAGTACGGAAGAATTGGAAACAGAAAAAGAGAAAGAGAAAGAGAGAGAGAGAGAGAGAGAGAGAAAGAGAGAGAGAGAGAGAGATGGAGAGAGAGAGAGAGAGACACACGCAGACTTGTTTATACATGCACGCAAAAATGCGTGTAACTGCAAACAACGTTTCTGCTTTTGTTTTCTCTCCTGTCATCATTATCTCTTTTTTTATTTCTCCTTCAATTTCTCTCTCTCTCTCTCTATCTTTCTCTCTCTCTCTCTCTCTCTCTCTCTCTTGTTCTATTTATCTATTTATTCATTCATCTTTCTTTCATTCACTTTTATTCCTTTTTCCACGCTCACCCCATCTAACATTAGACACGGGCTGATGAATTAAATGAATTAAACTCCGTACATCTCGCCATACATACGCAATTGCCGAAAGATACGTGCACAGCCAATATTTGCATACGTTGTGCACGCGAACGTACGCTCAAATACACACATACACACACATAAACACGCACATACACATACATACACATACACATACATACACATATATAAACACACACACATACACACACACACACTCAGATATTCGACGACGTACACCGAACGAACAACATAGTTTGTTCTTGGAGAAATTCTCTCTATTTCTGTAAACTCGCTGGCTCAACGTTAAATTACTCGACATTGTTTATGTTCATAGAATAATGAAAGATGATTTTAATTAACGACTTAGGTGTGTTGAGTATTAGTTAGTGTTTAAAATGTTTTAAAGTTTAATAATCGAAATCGAACGAGTAACGACTCGCCCATTATGGTTAATAATAATTTTTATTGTTTAATATTATAACAAAACTTAAATTGTAAAATTGAATAACGCTAATAAAAATAATGCAAAGATTAGCAAGTAGATTGTTTGTGTGTGTGTGCGTGTGTATGTATAAACTTGCGTATGTTTGAATGTGTGTGTGTGTATGTGTGTATGTGTGTGTCAATGTTTGATTACAGCTACCTTTGTAGTAAAAAACGCCCAAAAATTTTTTTTCTTGTCACTGTAACAAAGAGAGGATGATGACAACGACGATGATGATGATGTTGTTATGATGACGATTGTGATGATTCACTGATGTCATGATGATGATTACGATGATGATGATGATTTGATGATGATGATGATGATGATGGTGGTGATGATAACGATGATGACGTAGTTGCTGTTTTTTTATCCATGTAATCAACATTGTCAAGATTGACGGAGTTATTCTTATTCTTATTATTATAATTAATATCATCATCATCATCACCATCATCATCATTATTATTAACATCATCATAATCATAAAGTTCGGCGTTTTTATTCCAGAGTCTCAATCATGGAATTCCCCAGAGCCAAGAATGACGTCATTACCATATACATCATCAAAAATTTATCATCATCATCATCATCACCACCATTACAACCACCATCATCATCTTCCTCCTCATCATCTTCCTCATCATCATCACCATCTCCGTCGAGTTATGATAAACACATGTGCTTCAAACGGCATCAAAAAACAGCGCGATCATCAAAGAGGTTAGGTCAAAGGTCAAACAGCAACGTCAGCAGAGTTCAAGGTCAAGTTCGGCTCAAAAGGACATCATACCACAGTACCAATGATGATGACGACGACGACGACGATGATGATAATTATGATGATGATGATGGTGGGGATGATGGGAGTGACAGCTATGGTATGTTTATTTTAACTATTTGGAAACACATGTATGTATGTACGTACGTACATACATACATACATACATACATACATACATACATACATACATACATACATACATACATACATACATACATACATACATACATACACACAGTATTGTTACATTGATTATAATCTAATGCCTCTGCAAACACCATGCTGATGGTACGACCACCCACTAAATATATATATATATATATATATAATTATAAATATATATATAATGATACTTTTTTGAAATAATTACATAATTATATAATTAATTAAAAAATAATAATTATTATTATAAATATTATATTAATGTGCGTATGTGGATTGAAGGCAGCATCAACAACTACAATAACATCGCAATTCATTTGTTAAAAATCAATTGCCTAAAATTTAACAAGAACACACAAACATTCGGTCATCGAGTTAGCGAGTTAGCTCAGTCGTCAGTAGATGCGCCATGTCTGGCGCTGCTATTACGCAATGGCCTGGTTTAAGTACTGTTTGTCCGAAACTGAAAGACTATCATACTAGTACAGGGGCGGGCAAACTTTTTGCTCTGAGGGTCGCATCAAGAACTTTTTGACTTTTGAAGGGTCGCATTGAGAACTATTTGACCTTTGAAGGGCCGCAGACGTACTTAAATAGCAAATTTTTTCAACCCGAGGGAGAACTTTTTAAAAACTTGTGGCCCTTTTTTTTGTCATAATGTCTGATGACGACCCTTTTTTTTGGTGCTTAGAATATTTATAGAGTATAGAGAATAACACGCAAGGAAAGCAGTCCTGCTTTTGACAAAGTTGCATTATAGCGAATATAGAAGACATTAATACCATTAACAACGTCATTAATACAATATAAAATATTATTATTTTTTCTGTTGTTATTGTTATTATTGTTGTTGTTGTTGATGTTGTTGTTGATGTTATTGCTATTGTTATCATTTATTGCTAATAAAGCATTCAACGTCACAACATCCGCTTCCACCATTGACATGAAAATCACGTGACGAAAACAAAAACATCAAAAAACAACATAAACTAAAAACAACATAGAGGAAAATTAAAAATTGAAAGCATAGATACGTAAATAAATGATGGCATGGACAAGAACATGAGAAGCAGACAACAAAGAAGAGAAAATATTTAAAAAACATTTGAAAAACACACACTAAAAATAAGAGTAAACATAAAATAAGCCAGTTAACAACAACATCAACAACAACATCATCATCAACAACAACATCAACAACAACAACATCAACAACAGCAACATTATCATCAACAACAACATCATCATCAACAACAACAACAATCAAAAACAAGCAAAGGAAACGCGATCAAAAAATGATATAGCGCAAATCACAAGCATCGAAGGCTCGGACGCCATCTTGCCCTGTTCCACTTCCGGTCAAGACAAGCCGGAAGTCACGTGGTATTTCAATCATAGGCCTTTAGATCGCGGTTTGCGGATGTAGTATAGTTGTTCTCGTTGTTGTTTTTGACCCAATTGTATATATTTTGTTCATTGTTATTTATCTTAAAACTCTTGATACTACTACGACTACTTTTTCTTCTTCTACTACTACTAATACTACTACTACTACTAATATTACTATTACTACTACTACTACTACTACTACTAAATAATAACAATAATAATAAATAGTAATAAATATTAACAATAATATAACATAAAAACCAAAACGACAGACCAAAGACACCAAATAACGTCAGCCGGATTATCAATTAATTCCGTGAAGTGGAAAGATAGAGGGACGTACGGATGTTTTGGGGGCCAAAAATTAGGAATGGGACGAAAATTGGGTTTCGGTAGGGAAAAGAACCGGATAAAACCGATTTCCATTTATAGATTAGAGATTTTGGGTAGGTTCTTGAGTGAATTTAATCAAGTTTTTTTTATTACTATTAGTAAAATTTTTGAAAAAAAGTTTAATCTTTTATTACCGTAAAAAAATTAGCAAGATTCAAGTTAATAAACATGTCTACAGATCAAACAAAACTACAGCAACAAAAAATACAAACAAACCAAACAAACAAATCAGCCAACAAACAAACAAACAAACAACAGCCAGCCCAAAATTTCTCCAACCACCATCAATTCCGGAAAAAATTATTTTGGGCCACAAACTGACCCTTAGTTGCGAGGGACAAGGCAGTCCATACATCCGCTACGAATGGCTGAAAGTTAGTAATTATATTTAATAATAATAATAACAATTATAATTATTGTTATAATTAATATTTTTTTTGTTATTATTTATTTTTGCGGTCAAACTTTTTTTCAATGTAATACCGTTTAATTCATTCGGCAATAAATACTCTATGATAACATCACATATATACATACATGCATACATACATACATGCATGCATGCATACATGCATACATACATACATGCATGCATACATACATACATACATACAAACACATATATACATATACACACATCAAAATGTGACGGTATTTAGCTGGCATTTAAAGGTATTAATAAAAGATTTATCACCACACACAAACACACACACACACACACACACACACACACACACCGGCATCTATTATATAAACACACACACACAAAACACACACACATACATAAATAAATCCACACTCCCATAGACATATGCAAAGTAAAAATATTGACATACAAAAATCATCAATTAAAAACAAATATTATTATTATTAATCATCATCATAATCAGCAGTAGCAGCAACGACAGTGGCGTCATCGTCCTCAGTATGACGTCATAAGCATACAAAAAAAACTAAGTATACATGTGACGTCATATATTAGAAGTACTCGAGTGTTTGTATTGTCTCCGTTGAGATACTGGAAGTATATTTTTCCAGCCATCCGGTGCAAAGAAAATACAAATTGGTGTATTGTTTGGTATTGCATCTATATGAAAAGTATGGTACCTGTGTAGTTTTTTGTGGTAATAAAAAGATGTAATACACAGCTAGATCAAATAGTAAGGACGTCGACTAGTTTTGCATTTGTAATGTTATCACACGGTGAACAGGTTCGAAAACGGCCTAAGCCATTTCAAAAGCATATGATAAACCTTTATTAATACATAATTAATTTCTGATTTTTTAAAAATTCAGGAGCAAAAAACCTCAAGCAAAATTAGGATGAAATCGAAACTGAGCGAAAATAAGAAACAATACTCCATAGAAAAAACAAGCATAGAAGATGAAGGACGATATTACTGTCGTCTGTCCAACCAATATGGCAGCAATGAGAGTTTCGTTGACGTCAAATTCTTAAGTATGACGTCATCATTTTTATCTATTTTAGTAGTAGTAGTTGTAGTTGTAGTAGTTGTAGTAGTAGTAGCAGTAGTAGTAGTAGTTGTTGTATTGTTGTTAATAATTATTATAAATAAATACACAATGATAATTTCTATCAGTACCCGCGAGTGTCTTCGAACTCGGGCCCTCCGTCACAACAATTCGAGAGGGTGGGCAACTTAACGTAACCTGTCGAAGTAGGGGTTTTCCTCTGCCCAAAATACTTTGGATGGTTTCAATTGCCAATGGTGTCATTTACGAAGGCGCCGATGCACTGGTTGGTAGCTCTGACGATTACTGCTTTTATTTTTATTACAATATTTCATTATTATACTATAATTATTAATCTGCTCTTGTACTACTACAAGCTGTAGCATTGGCAGTAGAAGTATTGGTAGTAGTAGTAGCTGTGTAGTAGTAGTAGTAGTAGTAGTGGTAGTAGTAGCGGTAGTAATTGTAAATTACATTAACAGAGAGATCAAGGCTATACGATTACTGACGCAACTGACGCCGCGATGTCTACTACAGAACGCGTAAGTACGTTGAAAGCGAGGAACGTTAAGAGAAGCCAGGCTGGAAACATCACGTGTCTCGCTTATAACGAAGTCGACAAGGCCTCTAAGACAGCTATCGTTTACATCGAATGTTCGTTTAATTTTTTTTTATCGTTCATTATGGAATTTTGAAATACAGTGTGCGATGATTTCTATTGTATATTGGCGTTATTATTATTATTAATAATAATAATTATAGTTTTATTATTATTAAATTATTATAAATTTATTAAAATTATTATTATTAATAATAATTTTATTATTAATTATATTTTTATAATTTCACAAAACCAACACGTCACAGACAAACCGAAGGTAGAAATCAGCCCTAACGCAACTTACGCCTGGGTGGGGCAAATAAAAATCTTGAAATGTCGTGGAGTGGCCTACCCGAGACCCACGATCACGTGGTTCAGGGGCCTCTCCACCCCCATCAAAAACGAAGATGACGGGATTTTTAAATACGAAAGCGAAAGTGAAAGTTTCAACACGGAGAATAGCTATTTAACGGTTGGATCAATGACGCATTTGTATTAATTCTCCATTGACGAATGAATAACTTTGAAAATAGATTTCAATAAAAGATGATCTGAAATGGATATACGGAAACTACACGTGCCTAGCTAAAAATCATGTAGCCCATTCATCCGCATACACTTCTATCGTCAGAGCTCGTGAGAATTTTTTTTATTTTTTAAATTAACTTTTATGCTCTAAATTTTCTTTTAAGTAAATTAAATTATTTTATTAAGTAATTAGTGTTTTATTATTAGTGTTTGTAAGGATAAATGTATTTGCCGTTTAGTAGTCAGTGAAGTAAGTATAGCAGCAGCAAGTAGTTAGGGCGGCGTGATGGCTCAATGGTTAAAGGCGCCTGGTCTTGCTACTGCTATGACTGGGTTTGAATACAAAGAGATCCCCGCCTATCATATGCAATGTGTATGATGCGTGGTTTGCACGCGTATTTATATACGCTGTGTGTGTTTGTCGTTGAAACCTCTGAAGCAAACGCAAGAGAGAGAGAGAGAAACCTTTAACCTTTAATAGATTATCTAAATATTATGATACCATATATAATTACATAAACATGAAAATTTGACCAAAGAACTACCAGACCAGCCAAGAAACATAACGATAATAGAGGAAACATCGACATCAGTTACATTCTCTGCTAGTCCAGCTGGCGTTGAAAATAGCATGCAAATCACTAACTGGTCTGTATCTTATAACGAACAGAAACCCGGGTCGAGACAATATTTTCAATCGTTTCAAACTGGTATGTGGTAAAAATTTTGTATATTTTTTCATGGCGATACAGTTTTTGTTTATCTTTTGTATATTTTGTGTATTTTTGATACTAATTTGGTATGTTTGTATGTTTTGCAATACAACTTTTGTAAGAGTTAAAATGTGGTGATATTCAACAAGTGACACAAGGACTTCGCGAATGTCATTCGTTATTGACCGCGATCTCTTCTCCCTGCAATCTTTCCAGTAGTTGTTAAATTTTCCATTCTTTCCATCCGCATGATGTGACCAAAAAACTATAACTGCCCCCGTCGGATTATCTGTAGTAATTCCCTCTTTTCATGACCGGACAGTTTTAATATCCTCATTCAAAGTATGTGAGGTCCAAATAATTTTCATAATTCTTTTCAAAACCTATATATCAGCAGCGTTAATTTTTATTCCATTTCTTTAGAAATCGTCCAGAACTCAGAGCCGAAAGTTAGCACAACAATAATGTAAAACCCTAACAGTTTTAATTCAGTTGATATTCTGATTTTACTGCTGGTGAGGATGTTTGCTTATGTATATGTATGTGAGGGTATATACTCACGTACACCCACCAACAATTTTCAAAAAATTTACCCCTCCCCCCCAAAAAAAGGTGATTCGATGGTGATCACTGATCTGAAACCATCTACTCAGTACATTGTTCATCTGTCTGTGGGTAACATTGTTGGCTTCAGTACCCCATTGCAGTTCAGGGTTCATACGACCAAAGGTGGGCTGCGTTTTGTGTATTTTGATAACTGTGGCGACGATGATGACGACGACGACAATGATGATGGTGGTGATGATGGTAATGATTATTGGGATGATGATGATTATTATCCTTTCATTATTAATGTTTTTGTTGTTAATTTTATTACTTAGGGGGGGACACATCAAAATCTCAAAAAAGTTATTTTTTCAGAATGTTATCCCGTTCATTTTAGAAATTCCTCAAACTGTGACGTTCAAATTAAATTGAATCAATAGAACAAAACTGAATTAAGTGAACAAATTAATTAAAATTCATCTAAAAAATTAATAAAAAATTATTTTCTTCAGAAAAATCAAACGAATCGTCTCTAAAAATCCAGACGATGTCACCCCACAAGCAGGACGGCGTTCGGATGGACGCAAGCGACGCTTACGACCTCTCATATGCAGAAAAAAATTCTTACAAAATCGACCAAAAAACCGATTACGAATCCAAGTACTTGAACATTCGGAAATCGAAAAAAAAATCGAATGATGAGATACCGAACGGTCAGTACACACCTCTGGTGATTGGAATCGGCTTAACTTTAACCATTTTTGCCGGAGGGGCTTTGGCATGTTTTTTTTACGTCTGGAGGAATAAAAGACTGAAAAGGCAGCCTACATCTGAGGAGGAATTTGTGTCGAATCGAGTTCAAGTCGCCTCACCCATTCCACCAAACTCTATCCTTTTGGTACCAGTCACCAACATTGACGGCAATGGCAAGCCTCTGCTAACTGAACATGACGTTGAAAGTGTTACTACGGAGTTAATCAACACCATGCAGCAGCAGCAGCATCAACAGCAACCACAACAGCCACTAGCCAACAAATCATTCAACAGAGCAAATAGCATTGATTCATTTTCTCCTTATGGAACTTTCCCGCGCAGATTGAACTTTTTTGAGAGTGCAACCAACACGCCGACGAACTCAACACCAGCTGGTCCGCTGAGAGCAAAGTTGAATTTGAGAAAGTTGGAAATGATCTCACCATCGAGCCCTCCTAAACAAGTTTTCAACGTCGGTAACAATTCGACTGTTCGAATGTTCGAAGCATTTCGACCGGTTTCGGTAGATCCGATTCGAGAGCACGGCAGCACAAACCGAAACTTACTGCTCAACGCCTGCCATTCATTCAACTCCAACAACAGCGACGCGAATGAGGATCTCGCTAACCAAACACTCAACAGTGCTTTCAGCTACCCAAACAACAACACCACAAGCAGCAACCAGACGTCCTACGGAGCCAACAAATTTTGTACACTGACGGCGGTCAGACCTGTTTTCGAAGCCAAGCAGTTGAGGAAACAAGACCACGAAACTGGCGTCGTAAAGTACCCTAACTCTTGTTACACTACACCCAAACGACGGCCAACGGTTAGTAACGGTAGCGTTAGTAAAAAAGATCATCCGGAAGGTTGCAACAACAACAACAACAACAATGATAAAATCTGCAAGGATCAAATTTTCAAAGTGGATTACGACGGGTATCAGAGCGGCGACAATGTTGACGACGATATAGACAGTGTGAGGTATCTGCCAGCGTTAGCGGGTCAACGTCATCCAAACAACTGTGAAAAATTCAATCGAAACTTTCCACAGAACAACAACAACAACTTTAACAACAACAGCAACAACAACAACTTCAACAACAACAACAGCAACCACAATAATAATAACAATCGCAATTATTTCCAGATGAATAACTTTCACGACCTAGGCATAAATAATCTTAGTAATAATAACAACGACAATTTCCCTATGAGTAGCGAAAACACAAACCTAAGTAATCAGCTATTTTATGAGAGTTGTACTCAAGATGATAGTATAAATATTAATAACAATACTAACATTACTCAGGGCGGTAGTAAGAGTAATCTAGTACCAGAGAAACGAACTTTAGTCAGCTACACTGTACCGTTAAATAGATGTAGGTAGGTCGAAGTGTGCATGAGATGATTTATGAATGTTTAGTGGATAAATTGATTTAAAATTGATTTAAAATTATTTGGTTTAATGAGCAAATGGATGAATGAATGAATGGATGGATGAATGAAGGAATGAATGAATGAATTAATGAATGAACGAACGAAAAATGGATAAATAATTGAATGAATGGATCAATAAATGTATGAACAAACGAATTAACAGTAGGTGAACGGATGGTTGAATGAATGAGTGAATCAATCAATCAATCAGTCGATGAAAGAATGATAAATGAATGATTGACTGAATTAAGAGACAATTTGATAAATAAATATATCGATTCATTTATTTATAAAGTTAGAAGTTTAGTTAGTTCTGAAAGAAAGCATTTAAAAACCTTCTTTAATCGCAATTTTTTCATTCGTTTTAACAACCTATGTCGTTTTTATACAAGGTAAAAATTATTTTTTCAACAAAAAAAAACTATTTTTATTGTTTATTTTATTTATTTATATTTTACAGCCCAGTCAGTGTGTGTGAGTTTGTGTGTGTGTGTAAGCTTGTGTTTGTGTGAGTATGTATGTGTGTGTGTGTATTTATATATACAACAGTGTTATTTCTATTTCTATGTTATAATTATTGTTATATTTGTCGCTTAATTATTTAGAAAATATTTACTAAAATAAATTTGTCTTCAAAACTGTTGTTTAGTTTTTGATATTTTTTTTGGTGTTTTCATTCGTAAGTAAAAATCGTAAAATGAAAATAATTTGAGAGAAGAGGAACGAGAGAGAGAGAGAGAAAAAAAGAGAGAAAAAGAGAGAGAGAGAGAGGAAGAGAGAAAGAAAGAATAAGATAAAGAACAAAATTAATTAGAACACGGAATGATATTCTAAAGAGCAAATATTTTATTCATAATGAAATTGAATCAAACTGATAAGGGCCTAATTAAGATTGAAAATCAAAAAATGTTTAGCACCCAATATCATAATCATTATCGTAACTATCATCATCATCATCACCAACATCATTACCACCATCATCGTCATCGTCATCATCAAATGTCAAGTTAAGCTATTTTTCTCATCCTCAACTAAACTATTCACTTTACATTTATTGCCATCTCTGTCAGTATTGCAATTAGTATTATCCGAATCGAGACCGATACTTTTATCGATACCGCAACTGTAATTATCCGATTCAGTATCGATATCGGTATCCGAATCTCGAATCGATTTAAACCGTTTCCTAAAGTATCGGTGCGTCAGGACTGCGGTAAGAATTGTCATCAGTAGATTGACCGAACAACTGGCCAGGAAAATTACGTTCCATGTTTTTTGATTGTTGTCATTGTTGTTGTTATTGTTGTTGTTGTTGTTGTCATCAAAGCCTATAAAAGGTAGCTGAATTGAGTATGGCGCAATTGAACCGGGAGCTGTCGTCAGTATTATTTTATTATTATTATTACAAATTACTTAATATTTTTGTTATTTTAATGTTAATCGCTTATCAATCAATCGATTAGTCAATCAACCAATTGGTCAATTATCCAACTAACCAACCAACCAATTAATCAACCAACCAACAAACCAACCAACCAACCAATTAACCAACCAACCGACCAACCGACCGACCGACCGACCAACCAACCAATTAATCAGCCAACCAACCAACCAAATAATTAATCAATCAACTAACTTAATGATTGTTTGGACACGCAGTAGTATGAGCCGTACGTGTTGACGCATTCGAAGCCGAGCGGGCACGGTGCATTGTTATCACATTCATTTATATCTGACGGAGTCAATGAATGAATGAATGAATAAAAAGATGAATGGATGGATAAAAACATGATTTATTTATTTCTTCGTTCGTTCGTTCGTTCGTTCGTTCGTTCGTTCGTTCGTTCGTTCATTCATCCATTCATCAAACCAACCATTGCAGGTCTTCCTATTGTTAGATAGGTAGAATCCCATTTTGCAAGAGCATGTGAAACTTCCTGAGTAATAATAATGATAATATTTATAATAAAAATAATAATTAAATAATAAAAATAATAATTAAATAATAATAATAATAATAAATAATAATAATGGCACTAACGAACCTAGCGTGTTGGTGCAAGTTTGGGAGCAACCGCCATTGTCAGATGCGCATTCGTTGTCGTCTGGATATATTTTTCATTTTATTATTATTATGATTATTATTACGATTATTATGACTACTATTACTATCATTACCACAATCAGCATCATCATCATTATCATCCGACCTTGACATAGCGTGCTATTTATAGGCAGGGTTGACGTTATGTTACTGCAGAAGCATATGTTGCCCTTGGCCTCGCTATAGTAGCGACAGTACGTTATAGGCATGTTGTCTGTTTTTATTATTGTTATTTATTATTATTATTATTAATTATAATAAATAATAATAATAATTATTGTTATTAATTATTATTATTATCATCAGCATTCACTTGGGCAGCTATTTATAGTCGGGGCAATGACGAAGCCAGCTGAGCAGAAGCAAAAATAGCTGTGGGCGGCGTCATAGCATAGCTGCTGGCATCGAACGTCAGCCAATAGGCATTCGTCAACATTCGGCAATGCACCAATCACAGAAGAGCCGGAATTTTCGCCAGGGGGTCCGGGAGGTCCTGGCTGACCCGGGAGTCCTGGTGGTCCTATAGGGCCTAAGGTTGATATAGGATCGAATGGTTTTGTTTGTGGGTTGTCAAAATTATAGTATGAAAGAAAAAGGAATGAAGAAAATGAATGAACGATTGAATGAATGAAGAAATGAACAAATGAATGAGTTACCTCCGCTGGGTCCGGGCATTCCTGTTGCTCCCATAAGACCTAGGGTTAATGAATGAATGAATTAATTACTTTAATTATTAAAGAAAATACATAATTCACAAATAATATATAATAATAAAGATAACATAAATAAAAACAATAATAATAAGAAAAAATATATGAATTATATAGCGCCTCTTTAAATAAACATTTTACGCTACCTTGGGCCCCGGGATTGCCATTGAATCCCGGCGTTCCTGGCTGACCGGGTGGACCTGGCTGGCCTGTTTTGTTGTGGTTTTGAATTAGTGGAATTAAAGATAGAATTGATGAAAAAATGGATAGATGTGTGAACGAATGAATGAATAAATCAATCAATGGATGAAAAAATAATGCCTGAATGACATTTTTATCCCGCTAACCTGGTGGTCCCAACAATCCCAGTGATCCAGTGTCACCTGCAGAGAATGCAAGAATTACAAATTGAGTTAATAAATTATTAAATGAACAAAAAACTAAATAAACGTCAAAAATGAACGAACGGATGAATGAACAAACAAATAAATAATCAACAACCTTTGGAACCAGGAGATCCAGGGGATCCCGTAGCTCCGGTGAATCCGGGTGACCCGGAATAACCTTCAAAGATTTACAATTATATTATAAATATACCAATTAATCAACTAATCATCATATCAAATAATAATCAACCAATCATCGAGCAAACCTGTAAATCCAGTAAATCCAGTAAACCCAAGATCACCTCTTTGCCCCGGGGACCCAAAAGGTCCCGGAGATCCCGATAATCCCGTCGCTCCTACCGGTCCTTTCATTATTAATATTATTGTTATTATTATTATCATTGATACTATCAATGATACATATTATGTAAAAATAAAAAACACCAACCGGTGCCTCCAGTAAATCCCAATCCCCCAGTGGGTCCTGGAGGTCCGGGAATACCAACGGGGCCAGTAATTCCCGTGTATCCGGTGTATCCCATAGATCCGAGTTGACCCGGTGACCCCGGACTACCTGGACCGCCTGGCACTCCTGTCATACCTGTAGGTAGAAAAATGAATCGGCTGGTCAAATAAAATAATGAAAAGTTCAATAGAATGAAAGGTAATAAAATTCAATCATTCATTTTTTCGTTCGTTCGTTTGTTCATTCATTCATTCATTCATTCATTCATTCATTCATTCATCTCCTCACCTCTCGATCCAGGATCTCCTTTAGGTCCCGTCCTTCCTGTTGGGCCCTCGACTCCAGTGGCTCCGGTTTTTCCAGTAAACCCAGTTTCACCCTTTATCCCTGTGCGTCCCGCTGGTCCCGAAAATCCTGGTGATGAGAATGATTGGGATTGCGGCGAGTTGTGTTGGTGATGATGGTGATGATGTTGGTGATGATGACGATGTTTTTTTTATACGATTATGGTAGTAAAAATAGAATCGCGAAGAAATATAACCTAGATGCCTCGTATCGTCTTCCATCTTTAATATATTTCATACTTCTATTAACAATTTTTACGTTTTATTAAATTTTTTCTCTATCTCTCTTTTTCTCTCACACTCATTTTTTTCCTTACTTTCTCTCTTCCTCTCTCTCTCTTTTTCAGTTTTTTTTTTCATTTTTTTCTCTTTCTTTCTATCAGAATTAACTAGCATTGTCTCAAATCTTAAGATCAAGCTGCACCAGCGTATTAAGATTTTGCTTCTTCCCCTTCCTCTCTCTTTCTCTCTTTTTGAATCTCCCACTTTTTTTTCTCATATTCCCATTGTGACTAACCTGTATCCCCTCTAGATCCGGTAGCACCAGGAGGTCCCACATTCCCAGGATCGCCCTTGTTGCCTGGATTTCCTGGAATGCCTTGCTGTCCGCTATTTCCTGGCGGTCCTGTAAAGTGTGTGTGTATGCGTGTGTGTAAAAGAGAAAGAGAGAGAGAAAGAGAGAGAAATAAAAAAGATGAAGAGAGAGAGTGATGGAGAGAGAGAAATAAACAAACAAATAAAACTTGTGGATGTGTGTGTGTGTGAAGAATAATTGAAAAAAAATCTAATATTAATGCTCTAAATATCTTTTAGAACAGTTTATTAAAAATAGAAAAATAGAAAAATAATAAAAATAAAAAACAGACAGATAGACAAACAAACAGAGAGACAGAAATACAGACAGTCAGACAAACAAACAAACAACAAACCAGTAGCTCCAGTGACACCATTTTGTCCAGGATTTCCATTAAATCCTGGCAGTCCCGTAGCACCCTGCAATCCCATTGGTCCGGGAATGCCTGATAATAAAAATTGACGATAACATTAGCCACAACTGACGTTTTGATATTCATTAATTCTTTAACTGTGAGTATTAAAAGTCATTATCCACCTATAAAAATAATAAAAATAATCATATTTTATTATAGTACATTTTATTGTTATTATTATTACTATTATTATTGAATTGAATTGAATTATTATTATTTGTAGCACCTATGACGATGATGATGATTGTGATGATAACGATGATGATAATAATGATCACACCCCACAAAATTACAACAAACAGACAGACAACAAAACAATAAAAACATCATAAAAACCCGAAGTTCCTGGCGATCCTGGACTTCCCGGCAACCCAGGCTGTCCGGAAGATCCGGTATTTCCAGGGGGTCCAAAAGGTCCAATAGGTCCGATCGGTCCCGGAGATCCAGACGCCCCCATTTGACCTTGAGGTCCCGGTTGACCTTTCGTGTTTGTGTTTTAGATTCATATAGCGCTTTTTGATGCTAACGTAGTGATAATAAAAATTTTCATAGACAAAAATGTTGATGTTGACAAGGAAAAAATAATGAAAAGTAGGTAGAAAATTAAAAAAACTTCAAAACTAACCAGAGGGACCGACAATTCCGGGTTGTCCAGAGGCCCCTATCGGCCCAGTCGCACCAACGGCTCCAGGGGAGCCCTGTCCACCCGGAGAGCCTAAGATTACAAAAGAATTTTTTTTAAATTTGTGAATACAATATTACAATTATTTGATTAAAATTTATTCAGTTGAACGGTAAATTTACTACTATTAGATAATTAAATATATTAAAAACGGGAAAAATTCATCTGCACCACACACACACACACACACACACACACACACACACACACACACACACACACATACACAGCATATAGAACTGCACGTGAATATCAGTGCCTCACTCACGTTTGTGGGTATAGTGATAAGATTGGATCTTCATGCAATTGAATTCGGTAACCGCAGCGCAAAGCAGGCGGCTTCAACCATTACACAAATACAACCATGCCAAATTATCACCTGGATCGCCATTTCGTCCCAGTGGTCCCGTAGCTCCGGTGAATCCGACTGGTCCAAGATTTCCTGTTGGACCTGGGTTTCCGATTTGTCCAGGTAGGCCTGTGTGTGTGTGTGCGTGTGTGTGTGGTGTGCGTGTGTGTGTATGTGCGTGTATGTGTGCGTGTGTGTGTGTGTGTGTGTGTGTGTGTGTGGTTAGTGCTTGCGCTGTTTCGCTCATTCTTTCAATCATTCTATCGATCCTTCGTTCTTTCGTTTCCCATTTCAATTTTTATCATCCAGTTTCAACACTTGGAATCAATAAAATGTTAATTAATACCGTCATTAATCGGATTAATTAACTAATTAATTAATTGAGTAATATTTTATTTAGTAATTTAGTTTTTTAATTTGAATAATTTTTTAATTAATTCGTTTTCTGCAACTAACCTGGCGAACCTGGCGAGCCAGTCAGTCCCGTCGGACCAATTGAGCCTGCAATTAATTATAGTAGAAAAAAATATAATTATAATAATAAGGAATAATTATAATAAAAAAAAATAATAAAAAAAATAATAAAAATAAATATATCTACAAACACATAAATGTACAAACAAACATACATACATTCATATATTCGTACATTTATATATTCGTACATACAGACATACATACATACATACATACATACATACATACATACATACATACATACATACATACATACATACATACATACATACATACATACATACATACATACATACATACATACTTACATACATACCTACATACATAACATACATACATACATACATACATACATACATACATACATACATACATACATACATAACATACATACAATCATACAAATAAACGTACCCGTAGCTCCAACAGGACCAGGGTTTCCGTTAGTTCCAGGATTACCTGGCGCTCCCATTGGTCCCATACTTCCGGGCGGGCCTATCTGTCCAGTGGGTCCTGGCAAGCCCGATGACCCCGTCCAACCAGGAATACCCTAGTTGTGATGATGATGATGATAATTTGAATGGTGAAGATGATAATGATGATTGTGGCGCGAAGATAAGAATAGAAAATACTATTCAATCAATGGTCTGGAAGTTATATCAATCATTTCCATGTCGTCGTCATCATCAACATATTCATTAATACTATTATCGTCATCGTCATCATGACTGACCAGTGGGCCAATGGGGCCAGGTTGTCCAGGGGCCCCTGGATCGCCCTTTGGACCGGGAACTCCACTCTGCCCGGTGAATCCCGTGCTACCTTGTGGGCCTTAAATATCATTACCATCATCAACACCATCATTATCAATACTTTTACTATCATCATCATCATCGTGATCATCTATTTGTCATTATAATCATTATCAATATCGGCAGTTGTAATATTATCAATCATCATTTGCATCGGCAATCGCCATTGTCATAATATTTCATTCATCATAATTGTACAGAATGGATTAAATAATTTTTCCACTGATAATTTAAAAAAAATTGTTGATAAAAATAATAATTACACCGACCAATAATTCCTTGATCTCCCCTCCCACCACTCATCCCAGAAGGTCCGGGTGGTCCTGTTGCTCCCGGCAGTCCCTGAGAACCGGGGTTACCCGTGGGTCCTGGTGACCCTGTACGATTTAAAGTTGAAAAATGAGACTAAGTTAAGGCTTGTTAGTGGTTAGCGTAGTAAGAGAATGTGTATTTATTTATCTAACCGGTTGACCCGGTGAATCCAACCGGGCCTAATCCGCCTGCGTTCCCAGTGGGCCCAGGCAGTCCCTGTGGTCCCGTAGGTCCTGGTGGTCCCACTGTAAATGGAAGCGATGATGATGATGACGATAGTAGTGGTGATCCCGATGTTGTTACGGTTATTAAAATTTTTTAATTTAGAAGTTGAATGGATGCAGTGGGACGCCGAACAATGAATGATAAATAAATAAATATTAAAAAGATGAATAAAAATGTATTACTGACCAATTGACTGTCCGGAACTGCCAGTATCCCCCTTACTTCCGGGTTGACCAGATGGACCCGGAAATCCTTGCGCTCCCTGCTGACCCGGGTCGCCTTTTGATCCGGTATTACCTAATTAGTTATAATTGAAAGTTATATGTAGTTAAAAATGTGCGAGCTGAACGTGATCCACAAACGAGCAAACAACATCAACTGCCGGCTGACAAAAAGTTTTTCTCATCGCAATATTGGTCATGCAAAAAAAATTAATATATTTTTAGAAACCCGTGGGTCCTATTGGTCCCATTGGTCCTGGATTTCCAGTGGGTCCTGGAGCTCCTATAGATCCTGAAAACCCCATCGGCCCCTGTGATCCCTGTGGGCCTGGCAGTCCCGTTGCACCCGGTGAACCGTTTTGACCTGGAAATCCTTGTAAGCCTACGTGTTTGCGTGCGTGAGTGGGTTTGCGCTCGCGTGTGCATGTGTGTAAGATGTTTGTGTGTAAGAGGGGGAAAGAGAGAGAAAAAAAGAAAGAACGAGAGAAAGAAAAGGTGGTTTTTTTGTTAATATTTTGTTAAATTTGATATTTTAAATTAAAGTATTCATCATCAACAACCTCAACAATAACGCCACCATATATGTTCATCAGTGTACTCATCATCCTCATCAACAAGCACCTGTATCTCCCTTAATTCCTGTGGCACCGGGACTTCCTTGCGGTCCCATTGGCCCTTGAAGTCCACTTGCTCCAACTGGTCCAGATGCTCCCATCGCACCGGGTGGACCTTGAAACCCCTGACTGCCGGAACTTCCCGCTGGACCCGGTTGACCTGTTGACCCCGTAAATCCGGGCAGTCCCTGAGAGCCTGGATTGCCTGGATAACCTGTCAAGTTGATTGAATGTGGTTTTTATTTCTTCGTTTATTTGTTGTTTGCGGCATTTTTGTGTTTTGTGATCGAAAGCCTGCTGATATAACTAAATATACAAAGAATGAAAAAGTAAGAAATAATCAAGCAAACAAAAAGTTAGTGCCTAACAGCTTATCAAAATAAAATATAAAATTAAATAAAAAATTGACCAGTGAATCCAGTCGATCCAGATGGACCTATCGGGCCTGGATTTCCGGGGTTGCCATTCAGTCCAGGTGTTCCAGATGCTCCAGTGGCCCCTGGATTGCCAGGTGACCCCACGCTACCGGTGGCTCCAGGACTACCCTGCAGTCCTTGAGAACCCGGTGAACCTGGTTGTCCGGAAAATCCCATGATTCCAGTGCTTCCCATTGGTCCGGGCGGTCCTGAATAAAATGTGAAAATTAGTGAGATATAAAATTTATCTAGATATAATATAATTAGTATTTTTACGACTCAATCTTATAAATTCTTGCACTCAATGCAATTAGAAAACTTTAGAGTATTGTAAAACAAAAAATATCCCAATGTCAACAAACCAGGTGAGCCAGTGGCTCCAGTAAATCCATTAAATCCAGAAGGTCCTATTGGGCCCGCTGGTCCAAGAGGGCCAGGAAATCCCGTGGCCCCTGCACTACCTGGATTCCCTGCTGCTCCCGTTGCACCTGGATTACCTGGAGTGCCTGTAGCACCTGTAAATCCTGGAAAACCCTGCAGACCCTGAAAACCTGTTGCACCTGTTATGCCTGCGCAAAGGGATTTGTGTTTTTTTGACTGTGCATTTCGCAATACTTAAAATTTTTGAACGCGTATATTTTTTGTGGGGAAGTATTTTGTAATGTCAACTTTATGTCATATAGTTCATTTGATTTATTTTGTTTTGTTATTGTGACTAACGTTTTTAATTGAACAGAAAAAATTCCTTTCAAACCAAACAACAACAAATAAAAGGTTGAAAATACGTCGCAAAAAACAAAAGTAAAAATTAAACCCGTATCTCCTTGCCTTCCGGGCAATCCTGAAGCACCGACAGGCCCCTGAAATCCTGGCTGACCGCTCGGCCCAGGAGGTCCTAAAGGACCGGATGACCCCGTGTTTCCAGTAAAGCCTAATAAGGCGTTATATTTCAATTTCAGTTTTACCTCTTTGTGTGGCCTAGCAATAATATTAATAACAGTAATAACACTAAACACCTTGCACTCCACTCGCTCCGGTTCCCCCTATTGATCCCGAGGGCCCGGTCGGTCCTGGCTGACCCACTGACCCTTGATTGCCCGGTGGTCCGGGGTTCCCAGTTGCTCCTGTAATGCCTGTTGTGTAAAATTTTTTTTCAATTCCCCTAATTTGACGTTGAAAGTGTAAATTTTTATGTTTAAAAAATTTATTTTGTGTTTTTTATACAATTGCAAATATTTCCATAAAAATAAACCGCGCAGATTTTAAATTGAAAAGTAATTATATACCCATGACTCCTGTAGCTCCAGGTGGTCCGCTGGGTCCTGGCAGACCGACACCTGGACTACCAGTACTGCCTGGTCGTCCCTCTGATCCCGGAGATCCCACAGCTCCTGGAAGTCCTGTGCTTCCTTGGGGACCTATGTTTTGTTGGTGTTTCGTCATTGATGAAAGTTTTTAAAATATTAGCTTTATTTGTTTCACAATGTTAGCAGGCGTTGTGAAAATTATTATAAAACTAATGCATGAAGTTGAAATTTTTAAATTATCGCAACACGTAAATATACGTATGTTTTAATTCAATAAATTATGTAAACATACTTACTAATAAAAAAAAATTTTTTGAAACTGAAGACAGACTCATTTACAACTTAAACTAACTTTAAACAACCAACCGGGATAGCCAGGCGGTCCACTAAACCCCGTATCTCCCTGTCTACCATTACTTCCAGGGAAACCAGTGGCTCCTGGCTGACCAGGAATTCCAGTAGATCCAGTCATTCCCACAATCCCCGTTGCTCCAATACCTCCCTGAGGACCAGGAGGTCCAAAAAGTCCTGTGGCCCCCACCGGCCCAGGAAGGCCCTGTATGCCTGTTGATCCAACAGCTCCTGGAATCCCTTGCGGTCCTGGTGAACCCGGATATCCTGTGGCACCTAAAGGACCAACTGGCCCTTGATCGCCTGCGTTTGTTTACAAATTAATTGATTGATTAGTTGATTAACTAATTGATATTAATGGAGGATGATTAATATGTGTTATCGCTTTTGATAAAAATGAATTCACATTTAAGGTGATGATAGAGCAATGCTCATTGAAATGAAATGCATGCTCGATGTACACGTATAGTTGGAAAGCTATCATAAACTTTAAAACAAGCCAACAAAAATTAATACTCATGTTTACTTCAAATACAGAAACCTTTTTTAACTGTTACAACAACATGAAAAAAACTTAGGCGAGACAAAAATAAATTACACACATCAAACAAATATGAACCTTTGGGTCCAGGAAATCCCGTAGCTCCCACCAGACCAGGATTGCCCGGACTACCTGGCTGCCCAGGTGCACCTGGCGAACCCGGAGATCCAGAAAAACCTTGAAAATCAGACGGCAGTGTGAAACAAAATGTAACAAAAGGAGATAATTTGAAACAAAACGAAGTCAGAACGTTTGAAAACACCAAAATGAAAATTTGGATTTTATAAAACTTACCCGTAGCTCCCAAACCACCTGGGGGTCCATTAAAACCAGGGACTCCGGTTGATCCCACAGGACCGGGCTGACCGCTGGGTCCTGGTGATCCGGGATAACCCGTGGCCCCTTGCAATACATTTTTTAATTAAGTTACTAAATATCATTCATTATACATTCAAATAAATCATTCGTCGTACATGCTAACGTAGATTTTATCGTGTCGAAAAAAGTCTTTAAAGACATCTATGAAGAATGACACATACCTGTGAATATTTATACACACACACATATACACATACGAACGCACACACACGCACACATGCACACAACACAAACTTTACAACAATAAATCTTAAAATTTAAAAATTTGAACGTTCATCAACGAAAACAAAAAAAAAAAACTTGCACCCCACCTGAAAATCCGATAGGGCCAAATAATCCGGTGTCTCCTTTTGCTCCCGGAGGTCCCAAAGGTCCGGTCGATCCCGTAAATCCTGAATAAAGAAACATAATTGTGTAATGTAAAAAGTTGCATTGATTTGGTTGCATTGTCAATCCAATGATTAATTGCAATTTGTCTCAATTGTTAGAGTTAGAATTATTATTAATTATTACATAAAATAATAAATTAAATAAATAAATTTTTAATTAGAATGTGAATTCATAGCTCGCTTTCAAATAGTCTCAATTATTATTAAAGTTAGAATTATTGTTAATTATTACCAAGTGAATAATTTATATTATTATTATTTATTCAAAAACACAATCTATCAAATTAAACACCGACCTGGTTGGCCGAAGGGACCAACTGGGCCGGGATATCCCGGTGATCCATTGCTGCCCGGATCACCTTTCAGTCCCGTGGCTCCCAATCCGCCCGGGATGCCATCCTTACCCGGCGAACCTACATGTCAATTGTAAAGGAAAAATATAGAGAGAAAAAGAGAAAGAAAGAGAGAGATATATAGAGAGAGAGAAAGAAAAAGAGATGTGAGTCTGTCTGTGTGTGTACGTGCGTGTGTGTGTGCGTGCGTATGTGTAAATTTTTTTCAGGAAAAAAATTACCTGTAGCTCCTGGGACTCCAGGGAAACCTGTGTCACCTAAACGGTGAAAATTTTGTTAAATTTGATTTCATTTATTTCAATTGATAATTTTTGAATGAATGGATGAATGAATAAATGAGTAGATGAACAAACAAATGAATGAATGAATGAACGAATTAATGAATTAATGAATAAATAAATGAATGAATGAATGAATGAAAAAATGAATGAATGAATGAATGAGCAAACGATCGATCGACCAAACAAATGAATGTATAAACGAACGCCAGAATGACAAAATAAAAACTGGTGTGTGAATGAAAAAATTACTTAGTGAACAAACAGACGAACAAATGAATGGGTGAACGAATGCATGAATGAATGGACAAATAAAAGAAATAATCATAACCTTTAACTCCGCTTCCGGAATTAGATCCGGGCGGGCCCGGCGGTCCCTGTATTCCTTTATTAAAAATATTTCAGTCAACATTTTTTATTAACAACTAAAAGTTCAAAGTTTATTTCAAAAAATATGCATGAATAAGATGAAAATTTTATTTCTATTCATGATTATCTTTTTCTTCTTCTTCTTCTTTTTCTTCTTCTTCTTCTTCTTCTCCTTCTTTTTTTTCGTATTGTCTCTTTTTTCTAAGATTAATAGTGTTGCTAGAAGTTCTTACATTCATCTACGTGGAATAAAAAAACTTTTGTTTTTTCTTGACGATCCTACTTTTCTCCTTCTTGTTGCTTCTTTAGTTTTATCTAGGATTTATTATTGTAACTCGCTCTGACCACTTCTCTATCACTTTCGAAGTTCAGAGCGGATCTCAAGACCCATCTGTTTGCAAAATTCACTGAGGAGCGGTGTTGAACATCGCGAAAATAGCGCTTTATAAACTAATTGATTGATTGATTGATTAATTAATTAATTGGTTGATTGATTGATTATTATTATTATTAAATTAAATTAAAAATTAAATTTCAAATTAAATTTCAACCTGTACTCCCGGTAAATCCCACCGGGCCCTGAGGTCCTGGCAAGCCTATTCCGGCTATAATTATAAATATAATAATTTAGATATTTGTGAAAATATTATCGTCATTGCTGTTTAATATTTTATTATTATTAATTGAAATTAATCTAAAAAAATATCAAATTAAAATAAAATTACATTGCCCCGTTGACCCCTGAGGTCCAGTGGCTCCAGTGGCTCCAGGCCCGCCCCCTGAGAGAAAAATAATTTTACTAAGGTGATTATTTAATTAAATAAATAATAAAATATTACAATAATTATGAAAGAAGCGAAAGAAATAAAAATAATCTTTAGAATAAATCTAGCAACCCCAAGCGTTCAGACAGTATCTGGCGGCCAATACGTCGGTTAGGTTGCTGACGTAAGTGTACTGATTAGTGTAGTACACGTCTTGGATTGCACTTGCTATACTTTGCAGCTCTTCGGCGTTCAAATCACTCGTCACTGCTATCGATATTATCTTGACCCCTGGGTTAAACGGTCAAAGGTTAAGGTCGTTTAGCTATTGTTGTTGGTATGGTTTTCGCCCTCTGTTTTTGACGGGTTAAATGTTTAACAGGTCAGATAATTACGACTAGTGATAGAATTTAAAAAAATCTTGTTTCTCCAGCTAAAACAAATAAAAGTTGAAGGCTGTTAGCAGCTATAAACATGACTTTGAATCCGTTGTTGTGGACCTTGTATTAAAACTTCGAAGTCTAAGGTCACTTGATTACTGCTGTTGTCAATTTTACCTTTTTTTATAGAGAGGTTAAAGGTCTTAGACTCCTGTTTTGGAGGTTGAATAAAGGTCAAAAGGTCATTAACGAGAAAAGCAAAAACCTAGTAACTTGAGTTGATAAGCATCTGGTATGGTGTACTGAGAATCGATATTCGATTCGCCATCGGTGATGAGGAAGACGACTTTCGAGACACCGGATCGAGAACCGGCCGTTGGTGTCAGCACATCACTCCTGACCAACCTCAACGCCCCGGATGTGTTCGTTGGACCCCCTTGTGCCGTTAGGCCGTTTACCTACATGGGTTTATAATAATAATTATAATAATAATAATAATAATTTTAATTATATTAATTTATTATAATTGTTTAAATCTTTTCATCCAAAAAGTTATACTCATTGAA